GGTACTATGGGTTTCCGAGGTCTCGGAAACCCTTCTTCGGAAACCCTCTAAGGGTTTTCGAGAATACCCATTTTTTTTAGAGTGTGTGGGTGTGGGTGTGGATGTGTTCATCTATTGACGCACACCTACATCCGCACTCCATCCACACCGACACATCACATCCTTGCTTTAAAATTGATTACTCGCTTCTTTTGGTGCTAATAATCGTTCATTGTTCACCATATCATTATCAGAACATTGTTTGATTGATTTCAAATCATTAAAAGGTTTCTTTTCAAGATATAGAACTATTAATACTACACGCAATGAAAATGATGCATCACGATAAAACATATTATTTTGTCGGTGAGTTCGATCGGCATTAAATATTAAACCTATGCAAGCATATACATATATGATCGTATGATATGGCGATATGTAATACTCATCCAAAACATGAACAAAAAGCAGTACAACTGTATAAACTGTATAAAGATTTACTCGAAACCAAAAATGATCCACCCCAGGTCAATCATGGTCGGTCGTAAGCGGCCGTACACAAATCAATCACTGCGGATAATAGCGACTGTGTACAGTAGCCATTTACGGCAACGGTAAACGGTGCTTTATGACATATTACAACCAGGGTTGCCAAATCCAAATTTTAGAAATCAGGAGTTTTTTGTAAAAATTCAGGAGTTGATCAGTAGATTTTTTTCTAGAAAATCAGGAGAAAAATCAGGAAGTTTTTTTTTCGAAGAATCAGAGGAGAATCAGAAGACTTCCAAAAAATTCGGAGAAAAATCAGAAAATTTTTGGAATCAGGTTAAACAGAAGAGTGTCAGACAGCTTTCTCTTGTAGAGACAATACTGTCACTGTTAGTTTACGAACTCTTGTGACGTTTCTCTATCAAATGAGTAGGAAAATAATTATCTCACAAGTGAAATAAGGAAAAGAGACAGGTAATCATGAATATGTCTCTGTCTCGATATCTCGAATTGAAAATCTTGAAACAAAAAATCTCGAATAAATCTATGTATGTATACCTGTCTACTTTGTTCATAATACAATATCGGATCCATCGTTTCGGCCGCCGAAACAGTCAAAAATAGATCGAAAAGACGCTGAAAAGCTACGGAACCGAGCGGTTTCATAATACTTCGGCATGTTTCTTACGCCAGATTCAGGTCGACTCTCTCTAGAAAATCGCTGATTTCTTAACCAGTCCCGATTGGATCACTCTGGAGATTGCTAGGTAAAATTTCGACCAGATCTACTACCGGGCGACGTACTGGAAACCTATCGAAATCGGACGAGCACGAATGAAGTAAGATTTCCCTGTGTTCTGACATCCCACTCCACCTCTTTTTCCTCTTTTCTTTTAAAATTCTTCCATTTAGTCTCTTTTTTTCAGAAAAATCCTCTTTTGTGTTCTCTTTTCTCACGAAAAAGTAGGTTGTTGGTGAAAATATGCATGAATTTGTTGATTAATGTTACTATATCATACAAAAAGATATCATAACATAAACTGATATGCTTGTCAGTCGAGTTGTATAATTGAGGCTAAAATATATGATTTTATAATGATCACCTTCAACGATGTTATATACCTCTAATTGGGACTTGATTCTAGTAGCTCTATAGCGAAGATAAAGTCACTCAATTATATTTCAGATGTGAACTTGTCATTCTCTCATGGCTCTGGCAAGTTTTCTAGTTTAGATTGACATGTAAAATCATAATCTCGCACTCACTTTTGTTGGCCGTTTTTCTCGACCCTAGGAAAGCTTATGATGTGAATCTAACAAGGAATGGCTAACTCGTAGCGTAAGGCATGCGTCAAAGAGAGAAGAAGTTTCCAGGTTGGCTAAATATACCCTAAAATCCTGTCAGATCCGATAGGATTTCTTCGGCAAGATAGCCACCGACAGCATGATGTCATAAGTTGAAGATTTCTCTGTATTAAATACCGATAAAATATTTTATGTTGTGTCCGGCAATATTTGATCCTTCAAAATTGCTGGATTGATTACAGCTCCTGTGACATGCTGCTAGCTTACCTTATACGATTGATTTACTGTCAAAATGAAGCAACTTCACTCTTCCTGTGTTTCTCTGTGTACGATCACAATTTGGACGATCGTATGTCTTCAAATGGTACACAGAGAAATATAATAGTATACGAAGAAATACAGAAAAAGAAAACTTTAGACGAGCTTTGCTTGTCCATAAACGATCGTATTTCTGCGCATAAGATCAAGGAATTATACGATCGCAATACTGAGCCATGTGAAACGCAGTATCGCTCCGATTACGAGCGTGTCTGTTTGACATAGGTAAATATTGGCCACGGCTTGATGATACTTGGAAGAAATCGGATATGATGGAATGAGAAAGCAACAAACAGATGCGCCCCGATAATAAAAAAGCAGGGAATCGTACAACCTACCCAATACATATATGGGTATTTCCATGGGCTCTCAACCACGTTTACATCGACTTTCTCCAAATCGCGTGAAACTTTCAGCTTTTGTAGACCATATTGAGGTATGAAAATGCCGCGTATCAGTTTGTGAAATTTCTTTAATAAGTACATACATATGGACCATGACATTTGTAGGGCTATACAGGTAAAATAGTAAAAAAATGATTTTTTCGAAAATCATGTTGTTAGAGGATCTTTCCAACTGAAAACATAAAGTACCAACTATCTTATATATTCTAAAAGCTGATGACTTAAGCTACATTTTGACTATAAAATGTTGAGGTCTTTCTAAACTTTTTATCATATTGTGCTTTCATGCATCCTATTCACTGGCTATGTTTTAGTACATATCTTTGTAACGAAAAATCTTAAAGAAAAAAATCATTCCCAAATATGGCCATATATAAGGTTTTGTAGAGAATTAAATTCTCTACAAGATGCACTATATAAGAGCTCTCGCTTTTTTTATCTGAAAAAATGCAAAATCAAAAACTATAAAGAATCTGTTTTTCGCACTAATAAATGCGAAAATATGCTAGTTTTAGTGGTGAATATGTTTTTTTCACGGTGAAAGTTCTTCTAACATGATTAATTCCAACGTTCATATAATATCCTGTAAATCTATCTTCATATGATGTAATATTTATATTGTAATCCAATAGAACACCGAACAACTATGAGAATATTCTTTAACTTATTAATAAAGAAATATGCATATGTAGGTGTATCATAGTATATGATTATAGTTTCCAGTTTTTTTCAGTTAAACAATTGCTTTGCACGTATTCTAGTCTCATTGAAGGCGTTTCATGCTATATGATGACGTTCAAGAAGTGCTAGGTACGGAAGACAGATGTCCTAGTATGATATTTAAATACTAACATAATGTTCACTGCAAGGTAATTTCTTCTCAAGAAAGTTGCATATATTTATATGTACAATCTACTCGAAAGTTACATTGAATCTGACGTATTGTAGTCGTCTATAGTTCGCTAAATTTGGAACTGTATATCTTCCATTATATAAATCGTAATACTCAATCACTATTAGAATCAATTCATCTGTAATGGGTGAAATATTGAAATGAGTATAGGTTAATCTAATGTACTTGAAATATTTCATAATAGTAATATGTTAAAGATGAAAAATAGATGCTTAAAACAATTCAAATGTTTCAGAATAACTATCACTGGATGTTCGACGACATTTTATGTTACCAACACCTACTGGATCAAATTGATGTTTACTTTGAATACCTTCTATCCAATTGGTTCTCTCTAGACATGCCCACCGTTTTTGTAATGTTCTTTTGAAAATGAAATCAATATCTGATGACTTAATATAAAATGCTTCAATTGGTCGATTCGGTTCAAGATCACCTTTCATCACTTGATGATCGTTCGCTTGATGAGTAAATCTAAAAAACTCCTCAGCTGAAAGAAATACTTGTTCAGTTGAACCTTTTAACAAGTAACGTGTTGCACGAGATTTTACAGCAGCGCCCACACCATCTACTGGACCCTTCCCATGAGACGTTGATGAGAAGGTCCAGGATGCTGCTATTCCGAAGTCCATCTGATGATACGTAAGATTTAACATATTTTTAGAATTTTTGAAATGGGCGCTAGCACCGTCACTTAGATAATTCCTATAGAAAAAAAAACACAAAGCAAATAGATGAATAATATATACTTCCGGTAGTCTTTTGTTTCTCTGTCACTTCTTGTTAATCGTTTCTTTCTGTTGCTCTTTTACTTTTGTCAGACTAAATTATTCATTAACTGTTTCGAAAATCTTATCTTTCTGTAAACATACTAGGATGTTTTCATGTAGTTTTATTTTGGGTGAAATTGAAGATGAGACTTTTTTCAAATCCATATAGTTACAAGGACTTTTTTGTTCAAGATGCATAAGTGATAGACTATAAACTGCGAATGAAAAAGAAATATTTTCTGGTTTTAGTCCTAGCAATACTTTACTATAAATATGAGGATTTATATGTAGTTTATTGTTTTTGTAAAGACCAATTGTTGTAAAACAAGTAGTTTTGAAACTTAAATTTTCAGAAATTATAGGAAATAAAGTAATGAATTTAAACAAGCATAGACTGATCAAAATAAAAATGAATGTTTCATTTAATAATATCATAGTTGGACCTCACGATAATGAAAGAAAGAGGAAGCGCATTGTTATGTGCCAACATATTTGTTTATTGCCATCGGCTAAAAACACTTTCCTCAATTTAGTTTTTCAGACTCGTATCTCTCCTGATGAGAGTATTAAATACATGCTCTGATTACACATAATTATAGTAGCATATATTCTACTTGAAAACTTTTCATCCGTTCCTAGAAAAACTCTAATAGTTACGACGTCTTCTACAACTTACAAGTGATTGACATTTGGATACCACTTTTTAATAAAATTGGTAATAAATACCTGAGCTTGATAAACAAATTCTGTTGTATGTTTCATATAATCAGATATAAAGACAAGATTACGATGACCTAAACCCATTTTAATATGCACCGTAAAAATGGTTACCTGCTTGTTATAATAATAGGATGATTGAACAGCTGATTGACTGAATAAACAAAAGTTTTCAGCGAAATCAAGTTGTACAATCGCGGTTCCATGTTCTGATGATATTAATTTAATTTGTTTTATATATTCACGTTGTTCAATCGTAACAAAATAATGAATCAAAAACTTGTTCCAAAGACAATCAAGTTTGTCAAGAAGTGTACTAATTGAAGTGGTATGACGTTGTAGTTCCGTTTTTTTTTCGTTTTTCTCCCATAAAACCCAAGTAATGTCGTCGTCTTCGTTTGTTCCATTTATTTGAAGTAGTTCAATAAAATAGATAGAAGGCATTTTAGTATTACATGTAGAACATTGTCGTAAAAAACAATCTACTGTTGAATTTTGACAGACCATCATTTCCACTAATGATGATAAAGTTAATCGAAAACTGATTAATCGATTCATGACATTCAACAATAGCTCAGGATTTTGATGATGTTCACATACACAACTCTATGTAGATGTAGAAAATACAATGAGTAACCTAGCTAGATCTGAAGTACAATGCAAGTTACTTACATCATGTGGAGTTGTCGTCTTAATCCACTTTGGTTTAATTGAACAAAATTTCGATTTTCCAACATGCATTGTTGGATTTTCTTGAATGAATATTTGATAAGCTTCTCTTAGACTCATAAGCATAAACCGAATAGGTTTTGGGTTTTTATTATTTTGTAGAACATCCTTTTTGTTCGGCGATGCCTAAAATATTTAAATGAATGTATTCATTATGAGTTCAACGAAAAACTCCTTGTTTTAATTTTTCTATACAATATGTATTATTCATAGATATTTTCCATCGATTCAAAAAACACTATTAGTAATAAACCAATGCCTTATGAACATTACATCATTTCATTATTTGCATCAAAATGCTTTATGAAAAATCATGTTTATTAAATTATAAAATAAACTAGAAGTCTAGTTTTATTCAATAAAAGCAAACGTTATATTCCAATAATCTTAAAGAAACAATTTTCGCAAAAAAAGAATATATAATTTTTAAACGAAGATTGAAATATATGAGACTACATTACCTTACTGATTTCATCTGTATGATAAAAGTTGAAAACAGTTTGTTCAATAAATGGATCAAATGGAAGATTTCCACGACAGTCGATTGGGTATGATAAAACTTGATCTGCATCTCGTAAATAAATACCATAACGAGCTTGATGATCTGTACATCCAAAAAACGTCGAAGTTTTTACGCGTCCCCAAGCTTTAGGAACTAATGTCAGTAATCTAATTTGTTCAGCATAATCACTCATATTCACAAGTAGTTGAAAATTAGTAACAAGTTCATTAACATCGTTTATAGTTATGTCTGACTTATTATTCGATTTTATTATTTCTTCTTTCTCTTGATTTTCTTTATATAATTCTTCGGCAGCTTTGCGGATTACGATTATTCCAAGATTTACTTTTTGACGAAGAATATTCTGGTTTCTAATATCACGAACAGATGATAATCCAACTAATGAAAAAAACTTGTTCAAAAGTGCTAATGAATTTTCTCGATTAACAAGAAATTCAATATCCATTATTTCATCATCTAAAATATCCGATGATTTATTTTGATCGGACAGAAACATATCAAAAGTATTTAGAGTTGCTATATTAGATAGAGCAGTTGTTGCAGCAGTTCTTGTAGGTCGTGGTTCATCTGTTTCCATAGCTGGTGGTGAATTAATACAGATATACATTTCGTTAAATTTCTCCATCGATCGTTGATAACATGGAGTACACAAGTAATCATTTTCAGTAAACGAGAGTGAAGATATATTGGTCAAAAATGTTGCTAAGTTGTGATTAAGTCGACGTTGACCTTTTGGAAAATTAGGTTTTTGTCCCATTTTTGTCTTGTCATCGTGTGTTAAAGAATTTGCGCACCAAATTGTAGGCATAATTTATTATCTAAATATATTCTACTTAAACAGAATCATCTTCATAGACTACTAAAGCAGAAATTTAGTTCTTTTCGAAATATATAATATATCACTGTCAGCTACTGACTGCAATCGATTCTACCCCTCAAACGTTAAAAATTGGGGAAAAAGACAATAGAACAAAAGATACATACAATATTTTATTCTCTATTTCACACGTGCACGATATTATATATATTGCAGAAAAGAAAGGTGTTTTTTCACATCAATTGAGGCATACAATAGTGTTCGAAAAGCATCTAGCTTCAACGCATTATCAAATATGGCTTATTCAACATATTTATTCCATTTCCCTGCCTTCTTCTACAAGGTTTTACAATCTTTTCAAACATGATCAAAATTAATTTATAAATAATTATTATCCAAAAGAATAAATCATACAATGATTATGCATCAGTAAAATTTTAACATTTGAACAATATTTCACTCATTACAGATGAATTGATTCTAATAGTGATTGAGTATTACGATTTATATAATGGAAGATATACAGTTCCAAATTTAGCGAACTATAGACGACTACAATACGTCAGATTCAATGTAACTTTCGAGTAGATTGTACATATAAATATATGCAACCTTCTTGAGAAGAAATTACCTTGCAGTGAACATTATGTTAGTACACTGTAAAAAAAATTCGTAGAATAATAAACCCAAAAAGGGTTGATGAAAGTGTAACGTATAATAAACCCTTTTTACCGTATGGAAAATTTTCCTAAACCCTTAAAAAGGGTTTATTAAAGGGTTTAGGAAATTCCTAAACCCTTTCAAAGGGTTTAGGAAAGGGTTTAGGAAGTTCATAAACCCTTTAAGGGTTTATTATACGTTACACTTTCAACAACCCTTTTAAGGGTTTAGGAAAATCATAAACCCTTCGATATACCCTTAGTAAGGGTATATGAAGGGATTTAGGAAATCAATAAACCCTTACATAAACCCTCAAAATGGTTTATGACGGTCACCAAGTACGGATGGGATTGAGCAAAGGGTTTAGGAAACGTTCATAAACCCATTATAAGGGTTTAGGAAATGCTCATAAACCCATATAAGGGTTTAGGAAATGCTCATAAACCCATTATAAGGGTTTAGGAAATTCTCATAAACCCATATAACGGTTTAGGACACATTCAAAAAACCCATATAAGGGTTTAGGAAATGCTCATAAACCCATATAAGGGTTTAGAAAATTCTCATAAACCCATATAAGGGTTCAGAAAATTCTCATAAACCCATATAAGGGTTTAGGAAATTCTCATAAACCCATTATAAGGGTTTAGGAAATGCTCATAAACCCATATAAGGGTTTAGGAAAT